TTATGGCCCGATCTCCCCTACGGGAAATCAACCTGTTTACAAGGTATTTGGATATTCGATTCTCGATCACTCTGTTTCAGTAGAAGAAACTACTAATGCCTCGATGTTCTGTTCATAATTTATTGTTCCTGTTTCTGGGTTGCAGGCAAATGGTGTGGCTGCGTACGTAGTGACTCTGGTTACTTATATTGCTCTTTGGCGGTATGATTTCGTTCATCTTTAGTAATTGAAATATTTGAGGCTGATCTATTCTAGATGTCCGTGATGAATTTCAAACTTCGTGATCCCTTTGGGGGAAAAAGTATATACATCAGTATGTGATATGTGATTCTTAACCGCCCAAACCCATAGCTAATAGATATTGTCCTCTTTGGGCTTTCTCTTCTAGGCTTCCTCTCAAGGTTTTAAGATGCGTCCACTAGGGAGAGGTTTCCACACCCTTATAAGGAATGTTTCGCTCCTCTCTCCAACCAATGTGAGATCTCACAATCCACTTCCTTAGAGGCTAGCGTGTTCGTTGGCACACCACCCGATGTCTAGCTTTGATACCATTGTAACGGTCCAGGCCCACTGCTAGCAGATATTGTCCTCTTTGGGATAAAAATTTGGACCATTTCTCAATTTGTGTTGTCATCCATGTGCAGGGACAATGCTAATCTTCTCTGTATCGTTCCAATTTTATCGTGAAAACCTCTCCCCTAATAGACGCGTTTTAAAAACCTTGAGAGGAATCCTGAAAAGGAAGTCCAAAGCGGACAATATCTTCTAGCGGTAGCCTGGGCCCTTACAAATTCTGTACTAATATTTCATTGTTATGTTATTCTCAATCTATATCTTTTGTGCTAGAATTATATGCTTATACATGATTTGGACAGGAAATATCTTTTCTGCTCTCTGGATTTCTGATGGTTTTTTTTTCCAGTTTCATAGTTTAAGTGAATGTTTTAATCTTCAGGTTTGGGATATTCAATCCAACAGTTGTTTATGATCATTTGGGAGAAATATTTTCAACTCTTATTATTGGAAGCTTCATCTTTTGTATTGTTCTATACATAAAAGTGAGTATTTAGGCTGTTGTGTTTGATACCTGATGAAGTTAAGTATATATATATATATATGATATTTGTATGCATAACAGTGGTGTTTGAATGTATAAGGGCTGTGTGGCGCCATCTTCCTCTGATTCTGGTTCGTCTGGTGACATAATAATTGATTTCTACTGGGTAAGTTTTCACATCCCTTTGATATTTATAACTTGATGTGATAATTTTCACTTTTCTTTAGTAAAAAGAAGAAAGAAACTCAGCTATTTTAAAGATGAATGAGGATACAGAGAAGGCAACACAAAAAAGGGGCCCAACCAACATGGGAACAAGACAACAAAAAAGAAAAGATAAAAATACCAGATTATAAAAAGGAACCTAAAACAATGAACAGCCAAACAACCCTTATCCCAAAATGGAGGACTTGAAACACTTCCTCCAGCACTGTGTGTAAACTAGAACTTGGAACCAGCAAAATGCCAGAAGTCTACCAAAAACAACACATCTTTTGGAACAATGTGATGCATATTATAGATGATTGTTGAACTAAGTTACCCGTGAACGATCTAATGAACTCTCGAGATACAATTGTTGGGGTAATTTGGAACAAATCAGATGATAGTCTTCTAAGAAACTCAAGTAGTTTGTACATGCACTTGTTGTCTTGAAAAGTTCCATGGTTTTATTATGATATAATGCTTATTTGCTTTTTTACTTCAATCAGCCTGTCTTTAAGTGCTGGTCTACTTAGTATGTATGGTATGATAACAAAATGTTGCAAGCCTGGCTGGTTTGGCATAAAATATATTTCCTTTTGTTATTGCTTCAATTTGAATTCAATTCTGGATGATTCCAAGGTGCAACCAATATCTTTTTATGATGTATTTTGTTTTCATTTTCGAAGTAATCTCCACTAGAATCTCATGTTAAACGTTATTAGCCTTGTGAAGTTATCTCTTTATATGTCAGCTTATATGCTTTCAATTTGAAAATTGGAAAAGTAGTATGCTCTATACTCTAGGGTTCATCTTCATATAACTTGTTTATGTTTTTCTCCCGTGTTTTTTTTTTTTTTAAATTTAGTTTTTGCTTAATTTTCTCTTAAGTTCCATTTTAAATCATCGGTTCAAAGAAAATTGAATAAGCACTAGAGTATATGTGAGATTCCACATCGATTGGAGAGAGGAACAAGTGCAAGCGAGGACGCTGAGCCCCGAAGAAGGGTAAATTTTGAGATCCCACATCGATTGGAGAGAGAGAGGGGAATGAGTGCCAATGAGGATGTTGGGCTCCGAAGGGAGGTGAATTGTAAGATCCCACATCAATTGGAGAGGGGAACGAGTTTCGGCGAGGACGCTGGCCCCGATTGGGGGTGGATTGTGAGATCCCACATCGGTTGGAGAGGGGAACGAAGCATTCTTTATAAGGGTGTGGAAACCTCTCCATAGCATACGCGTTTTAAAAGCTTTGAGTGGAAGTCCGAAAGTGAAGCCAAAATAGGACATATTTACTAGCGGTGAGCTTGGACCGTTACAATATAGTATTTTGGTTGATCACATGATTGACTTGGCTAATCGAGGTCTTGTTGATATTCTAGTAACACCCTTTTTATTTACTTTCTTGCAGGGCATGGAGTTGTACCCGCGTATTGGCAAACATTTTGACATTAAGGTTTTCACAAACTGCAGATTTGGGATGATGTCTTGGGCAGTTCTTGCTGTGACCTATTGCATAAACCAGGTATGAAATATTATCCTACATTTGTGGAACATTATCTTCATGTGAGGTTTACCAAATATTATTCAGAATAATGGGATTCAAGCCTCATTTAATTGGTTGGTACCTTTGCTTTATCTTTTATCAGTATTTTCTCCCGTTACATGATATAACACTCACAGATGTTCTCTAGGCTTGTAGGTTCTATGGTATTCAAGGTGTTGAGATGTAATTGTTGCATAATTATCTTCTCATTTCGTCCATTTCAGTATGAAAAGAACGGGACAATAGCTGATTCGATGCTTGTAAATACTGCATTGATGTTGGCTTATGTTACAAAGTTTTTTTGGTGGGAAGCTGGGTACTGGAACACAATGGACATAGCGCATGACAGAGGTTAGCTTATATATTGTATGCTTTTCTTTGTTTAACATGTCATTTCTTTTCATACTCTTCTGTTATTAATAAAATGCTCAAGCAGAGCTGACTCGTTTTCGATCTTGAAAAATGTGACACACAAGTCTTCAACTCTTATGCAGCTGAACTGTACTAGGATGTGATTTTAATGGTCCATTTACCTTGTCGGAATTAAGAATAAATAAAACATGTTATCCTCTTTGTTTTATCAATCTAATTACTCCTGGAAATTGGTAACTCGGATTTTGCAGCTGGTTTTTATATTTGTTGGGGCTGCTTAGTATGGGTTCCATCTGTATATACCTCTCCTGGCATGTATTTGGTCAACCATCCTGTAAACCTTGGAATTCAGGTATCCCTTCTATCTAGTAACTTTTAACATTAAGCAATTAATTTGAACTGAAACATGCTGGATCATCACATATTCTGGAGATTCGTGGAGACTCTTTAGCTTTTAGATGGTTGGTGGTTAGCCAATGTGGAAGATATCGACTCTTAAAACGATCGTTTCTACTCGTATAATTCTTGATGGATTGTGCTACTTTCCTAATAGTCCCTCCTTTTGGTTTTCAGTTGGCAGTATATATTCTAGTAGCAGGCATGCTTTGCATATATATCAACTACGATTGTGACAGGCAGAGACAAGAATTTCGACGAAAAAATGGGAAGTGCTTGGTTTGGGGAAAAGCTCCATCTAAGGTTTTGACGAGAATTCTATCCAACAGTTATTATGGAACGATCTAGTGATACAATGTGACGAAATCTGGTATTAATTTGACAGATAGTAGCTTCATACACCACTACATCTGGGGAAACCAAAACTAGCCTTCTTTTAACCTCTGGATGGTGAGTTTTCATTTGCTTCATTTTCTCTACATATACATAAGTGTGTGAGTGGGATTTTGTTGTTGGTGTTGGTGCAGGTGGGGCTTAGCAAGGCATTTTCATTATGTACCAGAAATTTTGGCTGCATTTTTCTGGACAGTTCCAGCCCTTTTCAATCATGTAAGCATCACCTATTCTAATCAATACAAACAGAAAGAAGAATTATATTGTTTATTTGGTAATTGTTGGTTTGGATGTCCTCCTTTGCAGTTTCTACCATATTTCTATGTGATATTCCTTACTATCCTTCTGGTCGACCGAGCTAAAAGGGATGACAATCGATGTCGGTCCAAGTAAGTTAATCAGTTCGGTTCAGCTGATATGGGATGGGAGTACCTCCTACTTTGGTTGATGATTTTGCATTCATGCAGGTATGGCAAATATTGGAAACTGTACTGCGAGAAAGTGCCTTACAGAATCATTCCTGGAATATGCTAATACGGCTTCCTACATTTGTATATCACTTATAGTACGATCTAATACTTTGTTTGTTTGTTATTACCTTTGTTGCCCGCTTCACTTCATGTAAACCTTATAATATTGTAACACTTTTTTCATCCTTCTTATCTGTTGTTGTTTTTGTATGCAAGTTACTAGAGCTTTCACATTCTCTCCCATTGCTCTCTACCTCTCTTGTCAACAATCTCCGCTGCAGGGACCGTCTTCTTGTCAACATAATTCATGGTGGTCGCATCTTCCCTTGCCTTCATTGTTGCCGATGTTGTCTCTCACTCTTGCCTCCCTCCCCATTTGCCTAACACTATCCCTCACCTCCATGGCAGCCTATAGCATCTCTTGCTCTAGCCTCTAGCCTCGCGCCTCACTGTTGCTGTCACGTCTTTCTCCGATGACTCAATGTTGTAGGGTTCAGAATGGTAAAACTATAGATAAAATAAATTTTCTAGGAAAAGGAAGTTTGGTGCGGAAACTGACTAGTCAGTTGGCATGTTTAATCCATAGTTTTTAAGAAGTTTCCATTATTTGGAAACTGACCTGGTTGGTTCAGCGTCGGCTTGGGTGGAAAACTAACCCAACCAGCTGACTATTGATTTTAACTTTCATAGAACCGTTCAAATTACCTATTTGCACATTTGCTTTTTTCCTGATTTCATCTCTGAGTGAACATATTCTCCTGCACAAGAAGCTGTTATAAGTGCACAATGTCGAATTGCAGAAATTGGATATGAACCAGGTGCTGCAGTTGTTGCTAGACTACTTGTACATGCACAACAGATAAGGCTATTTGGTGGGTAGAGAGGAGGACATATTATTAATCAAATGAAAAGGGCCGATACTAACATGCAGATAATTCACATCTTCTAACAACACTCTGCTTCACTCCTCAGTACTAAACGTTACCTGCCCAAGCTTATTGTACAGTACAATCATTCTAAATGTATGAACTCACTAATACTCCAATTTTCTATTAAGTGTTCATTAGTTGGTTTGAATTACATCTTTTTATAAATTTTCTTAGAACAGCGGGTGTCCAGCTCATTTTCTGGGAGGCACGTCTATGGAGATTGTTCATGTTCAGCAGGTTAGTCAAATACGACAGTTAAGCAAATATTGTGTTTTGCCTTCAATGAGTTTGTAATTTGTATGTTACTATGGCAGATATATATAACGGGGCAATGGTGGTGGTTAATCATGCTAAACCTGGGATGTTTGATGGCAAAGTGATCGTGTCTGGCACGCCAGATCAGATTCGGGCTGCCCAGAGACTCGTCCATGCCTTCGTCTTGTGCAGGAAGACACAATCCTGATGAACATATAATAAAGCACGAAGATTGAACCAAGTTTTATGAGAGTTTCCGAGTGGATGTAAACAAAAACGTACCAGTGAATCTAGTAGTAGGGTGCTTTCTAATTAAGGATGATTGTTTGCATCCATTTTACCCTGTTCCAAACGTGTTTTTCAGCTGCCCTTGCGAGAAGTGCAGAATGCAGAAAATCAATAAAACAAAATTAAGTATATGATTCAAATGTGCATCTTATTTCATTGCACAGGATTTGTGGTCGTGTTGTAGACTCGACAAAGAACTGAGTGATTTCCTAGTCAAAACTTGCATCATTCATATTTGGGAGGTAGAACTCTGTGCAAGAGAATATACTGGACAAAAATGAAATGGATTAAAATGACCATGCCATTGTACAAGCGCAGCAAATGCTAACTTACAAGATTCTAGGAATTTTGACATGTTGAAATGGTTCACAATATGATAAGAAGAGCTATTAAATTAGTACACGTCCACGATACCGTCGTTTCCAAGATGAATTGGCCACAAGGGTCTCTGTCGATGGATGGGATTCATGATTCATAGCCATCGATGAGAAGTTTTTAATCCGTTTCAAACTAATCTGTGGGAGAAATTAAGCTTGTATGATTTTGCTAAATTTCGAAACAGCAATCATAAACACCTGTCACAATTCCTATGCACTTTTTGGGTTGGACTCAGAATCTCCATTCTGCACAACATTCTAAAACGAAAATAGAAGATTAAGGTAAAGGGCAATGAAACAGCACGCGAATTCCAACGCCTACAAAAGCCATGGTAAACAAAAAAGGACAACATCACCAACGGATCACCTCATTCCTATTGAAGCTTGAAGCTTGTCCACCCTGGTTTGGTGCTTTTGAGAGGTCCCGCAGAGTTCCCTTACAGTCAGCAATGCAAATTAGAAGGAGCGGAAACTAAAATATAAGAACGGGCTGTTCACTACCTAACAGCCTTCAGGAAAAGAATTTCTAGAACGGAAAGCAGAGCAGCTAAATGCAGCATATCATTTTCAGAGTCATACTGAACTCTGACCAATACAGAAGAAATATACCTACCAGAAGTACAGAAAACCTTCCACCAATTAGAATATGAATATCAAAAGAAAACCTTGAAAATTCTTTAGACACCACCAACTTTAATGACTTCTATAGGCTTTCTACGTCTATTATGAAAGAAAAAAGGTAATTTAGATTTTAGATCCGCAACACCCTTAATATTACCACCACAAAGCCAATCCATAAATATCTGGCCTTTTCTAACAATCCCCCTGTGACTGAAAAAGGTTGAACCCAAGACAATAAGGGCCAAACAAAAATGGAGGACACAAAACGAAAATTACAAGATAAGGCATCAGCATTTGGTAATAGTTAATTTTAGTTTCTAAATAATAAAATATATTTATAAGTTTTTTTTCTTGTTTTTTGCACAATAGATAAAGGTACCATAATTCTCTCCTACTGCTTCAAATGATTCCTTTTTCCACAATATCAAAGGAATTCACCTATTGGTTTTGTCCAACCCTATAACTAGGAAAAACTTCGAGATTCCCAAGTTTATAGGCACATTATTGCTCAAAATATAGAACCCCTTCATCTAAACCTATATTCTCCTTCCAGCTTGCACAAATTTTCAGCCTCTTCACTATTCTAGCAACAAAACAATGCCTTGTCAGCAAGAAAGAAAGCATACAACCTTCGTAATGTTCCTTAAGCTTCTGATCCAGAAAATTGACTGTCGTGAAAAGGAAGTCTTGTTATCATGATGGTGCTCCCATTACACTTAAGAAGAAACTTTCTCCATATGATTCTGTACGGAGGAGAGCTCTATGTTCTACCATTACCGACCAATCATCAAAGAGACTCTTAAGAGTTGGATGAGGAACACCATAAATCTTTTTAATGATCATTTTCAATTAAATAAAGAGAAGATGCTTGGGGCATACCCAATCTAAATCCTCCCAAAAGAATGTGGAAAGACCACAGTGGCTTTGATTCTAGAATACACAAGATTCTCATACTAGAGGAGCTTATTCTCAACCTTCACGATGGTAGGAGCCCAGACAGAAGGAGGAGAATCTAGGGTTCTCGTTGAGGGGAAAAATGAATAAGCAGTGGATTGGCCATGCTTGCAATAAGTGTTAGAGGCCGAGAGATCAATGTATGATTCATCTACATTTATGTCCAGGATCTCAGATTTAATATATTGATAAGATCCTTGAAGCTTAAAACACGACATAATACATGTTTTTTAAAAAAGCTGTCTTTGGATAAAAAGATGTTAATGTCTGTTACCTTGTTTGCCCACATGAGTCCGCAAGCATTGCAAAGGGTTCTTGGCCCATCAGGTCCACGTCGCATCATTGGTGTAGACTTCTCACTAATACCACAATGTCGACAGCTAAAGGCCAGTGAAATTGAAAGTGTTAATCAATCAATGAAAACAATAAGCACAACTCTTTAAATAGTATTCAGTCTGACATCATAAAGAAAAACTAACAGAATTTCTTGTTGATGGGATCCATTTCCATCAGAGCACCAAGTCTCATTTGATTCCCAACTTGTTGTGGCCGATAATGAATCTTCATGAATGGGTTTGGAAGATGTGAACTGACCTTTATTACGCTGCATCCTACAAGGGTAAGAACAATGGGGTCAAAATAATAAATATAAGCTCAGTGTTCTTTGTGAACTTGCTAATATTTTTTATTAACCTAAACCAGTTACCAATGAGAAAGCTATATAAAAGAAATCATCAAAATGCAGACAAAATAGTTTCAACTTTTTGTGACAAAGCATACAGAGAATACAAAGCATGCAAGATGTTTTTTTGGTACGCAAGTATGAAAATACAGATTAGTGAGCCCAAGTTTTCAGTTCCACTTATATTCATTCAATCAATAAATTAATGGGCTACATGCATAATCTATAACAAACTATCTTCTCATAATTAGAGAGTCAATGGAGAAACCACCAACTGAACTACAATTAGCAACTCTTGGTACAACACTGGATACTTGACATGACTTTGGAACTAATTCCACAGCTGTTTCCAGCCCCCAAGCCCTCTTCAGTTCTCATAAATAGACAGAATGCTGTACCTTATAGGCAAGAAATGAGCTAATAAGGAAAGAAAACACTATGCTGATTCAGAGAAAAGAGAGGCATCATTTTGATGAAAACCAGTACACAAAATGGTGCTGCGTAAAGTATCCATTGATCATCTAATCAGAATTTTACACGTTCTGATCATTAGCATCCCCAGCTCAATAAAACTACGTGGTACTAAATAGCTTCTACCATCAGCTCAAAATCATATTTAAATTAACCTAAGCTTCCTCATGGCTCATAACAGAAACATACAGCATTAACTCCCAACTTGTGGAAGAAAATATAACCCTATTGAAGGAGCAATAATAGACAACTTAAGGAGAAAAAAAATACTCCAACCAACAATAAAGGAAGGTGAGATACCTAAGTGCTACCTCTTTACGAACTGTATACCGAATTTTCTTGTCAAAATTACGTTCCTTTCGCTTTTCACGAAATCTAATCAAAGAAGCTAATCTCTGAGGGACACTTAGACGTGGGGGGATGGCAAGTGCCTGGTTAAATGCTTCATCAGTGAGATGCTACATTGAGATAACACGTCATTCTTTAATAGATAGCACAATAGGATACATGTAAATGTGGATAAGCATAAATACATACCCTATCATTTGGTTGATTAGTTATTGGGATTGAGGGAACACGCAAAGGTACTTCGCGACCTCCCAATAATAATAACACAGCTTGAACCTGACAAGAAGTTTTTTAGATTATTTTACAAATGGGTGACCATCAAACCAGTATAAAAACAAACTACATACACTAAAGCACTCAGAGGTACATGCGAAATCGTGTGTGCATAAAACAGATAATTAAACTAAACTTAGACAACGGCAGATCAAAGCACATAAAGTAACAACGAGTTATTTGTAAGCACCTAAATAACAGTAAGTTCGATCCTGCAAATATGTCATTGCTGTTATTTAAAACCAATATTTGTAAAGCCTGTTACGAAAGAGATGAATTCTTAAAAGATGTGACTGAAGGAATAATAAATTAGGAATAGAAACCTATTTGAAGGAATTTTATATTAAGCATGATTAGTGGCAAACAAGAAATCCAGCATACTAACAGAAAATATACAGAGCTGGGTCAGGTCTCCATATATATTTGGGGGATAATCTGTTAATTATCAGTTCGGTCTAACTTAAGCTTGGTTGGCTGGCATTAGTAATTATTGGAATCCGCGAACAAGGGCAGAGCAAAGTAGGAAGGAGGCACCAACCCAATTTCAATATTGAGATTATATCATTACAAAAGTTAAAAGGTCAAATTTTTCTCATCCTTACGAAAAAATTTGGCTCCACGCAGCTAACTAGCTAGCATTCACGTATTATCACTGAATAAACCATCCATTTATTCCCTTCTCATTCATCACCTATAAAGACCAAATCAAAATGTCCATTTAGTCATAAACCTGTAATGTCTGATAAACACGTCAGTGTCAATTTACAACATCTCAGTCACAACAAAAATGAAAGATACTTAAGTCACAACATTCAACGTGGACTGTGGATGTAACTGCCCAAGCCCACCGCTAGCAGATATCATCCTCTATCGGTTTTCCCTTTCGGGCTTCCTCTTAAGGTTTTTAAAACATGTCTGCTAGGGAGAGGTTTCCGTACCTTTATAAATAATGTTTCGTTCTCCTCCCCAACTGACGTGGGATCTCACAGTGAGGACCAATATGACTCAACAATGTTTTCAGTGTTAACAAGTATGGAGAGAAGTCGAAAGGCTATAGATTGTGCAAATTTTGTGTTATCTGTCCCAACATCATATATCACTTGAAATTTTTGCTGAACCGTTTTTTACTTTATACAGCTACAGAAAAAACGAACACGAGAAGAAGAATGAAGGAACCTTTTCGGGCAAGACAGAATCGAAAACATAAACTTGACCCTGATATGACAGGGTAAGCTGATCGCAGTTATCGCCTCCTCGATCCACCATTACACCACGATTCTCGGCAAGATCACCATGGTCGGATGGAGCTTCCCTTTCCACAACCATGATACCGTGACCTTCATTTTCATGCTCATCGGCCATTCCATTCCCATTACTCATGTAATGCAAGTCATGATGTTCCTGTTCTTGCACAGATTGTGTGTGCATCGAATGCTGTGCATGACTCATATGCATCCGTCCATCGCTCGCATGAATACCGTCCATTTCACTGCTCCCGCCAGAAAAACCTCGATTAATTCTGTACAAGTAATTGCGCATGAGAATTGAGATATACTTAAAAAGGAATCTCCATCCTAACCCTACCAATTCAATGCAAAGCATGCAATAGACAAAAAGTAACCAAACAAAGCAAAAGAAATTAACTATCTGCGAGTGCGTAGGAAGATATCGAGTTCATAGTTCAAAATCAAGCTCGACTTTCTTTATGCCTAGCACAATGACAATGTGTTGCGAGTTACAGAAGTTAATTTCCCCCGTTTTCAGAAGGGGGAAAAAAAAAAGGAAAGAGAAACAGAGAGTAATCAGAACCGAATTGTGGTATGAGGAAAGAATTTTAGATTTGATTGAAGATACCATCCAAGAGAGTGATAATCCAACGGACGAACACGACAAACGCAGCACAAATAATGCAATCTCGTTGCTCTGATGCTTTGAAAAGAAGACGATCGACGATCACATTGCTTTCAGGTGGAAGATCTCTCCTCGGGAACGGGAGGGCTGAAGATGCGATCTAAACCAATTGGGATCAACGGCGGATTGAGTTGGGAGAGAGAGAGAGTTCTAGAAAGTCGAGACAGACGTGCCTCCGAATGTCGCCCGCTTGGTTCAAGTTTAACGCATATTATGACTTGGGATTTTTAGGGGCGAGGACTTCTCATTGGCTTTTACCATCCCAATTTTAATTTCAACGTTTTTTAATTTTTAAGTTTCGTATTTTAAAATATTTTAAATTTTATGTTTTATTTTATTCGATTTTTTTTATTTTTTTATTTTTTTATTTTAAAAAAATGTTTTTTCCAAATTTCAATTTTTTTCATTATAAATTTTTAATTTTTTTTTGGGTCCCATTCTAAAAAATTCATAAATCTATGTTTAATTAGATGTGAATAAACATTCATTTTCTCAGTTACTCGTAATCCGATCTCCCTAACATTTTCTCATCATGGTTTTGCTTTGGGCTTTCCAAAATGCCTCATACCAATGGAGTTAGTATTCCTCACTTATAAACTCATGATCATTCTCTAAATTAGCCGATGTGAGACTTTCATCATCCAACACCTCCCCTCGAACAAAGCACGTCTCCCCTTAATCGAGGCTCGACTCATTTGGAGTCTTAGTCATTTTTTACTGCTTTCGTACCTTCGAGGAGGCTTGACTCTTTTTTTTCTTTTTGGAGTCCTTTGTTCGACATTCGAGGATTTGCCAATCTATTGGCACTGCTAAGTTTAGGGCATGACTCTAATACCATGTTAGGTTGAATGACTCGATTAAGGGGAGGCGTGCTTTGTTCGAGGGGAGGTGTTGGATGATGAAAGTCTCACATCGGCTAATTTAGAGAATGACCATGAGTTTATAAGTGAGAAATACTAACTCCATTGGTATGAGGCCTTTTGGGAAGCCCAAAGCAAAGCCATAAGAGCTTATGCTCAAAGTGGACAATATCATACCATTGTGGAGAGTCGTGTTCATCTAACACTAAAAACATAAGACCAGAGATGAGAATTATATTCCCCACGAAGTTGGGGCACCTTAAAAACCTACCCTAAACCAGATGGGGATTCTCTATTTAGTGGACAAATTTCAACAATTTTAAACTTTATTATAAATATAAATAATAAAGTGAGCAAAAACAAATTAAAATTTTAAAATTTATTATAAATATAATAATAATAAATGATAAATCAACCTTTCAAAATTTATTATAAAAATAATAAATAAATATTAATCAATTAATTCTTAGAGTTGATCAATTGTGTTAACCAGAGAAGCTACTTAATCTTATCATTATATTATCTGGTACGTTATTATTTGAACATGATCATACCAACTACATAATATTTAATATTACTAATAACTTTACATTTTTCGCACCACAAATAATATTATATTGTAAACAGAATAATCAAAATTATTATTAAAAATAAATTAAATAATTAATTACACGACTTTAAGCATAAATCTCATTGGATTATCTATGAAGTTACCACCAAACTTTTGAGGGACTATTATGGTCTTTTTGAGTCATTTTGCTGATCAGACCCATAAAGTTGATTGTGAATTTTAATATTCTTATCTCGAGAATTTATTTTAACGATTGAGTAGTATTTTTGTCACTTTATGCTCTCAAATGAATCTCCAAAAATTTGTAGCTTCATTTAAAGTAGGAAAGGGGTAAAAAAAATCTCATCTAAACACGTGTATTTCAAAAATTGGAAGAGACATAACAACTGACCATAATTTAATTGGTTGGGATTTATGTCATAAAGCCTCCTAATTAATTATTTAATATTTGATAATAATTTTAATTATTA